GTTAAACATGAGCATGTTACAGTCCTGGAGGATTATTAATGTGCACCTCCTCCTGTACTGCCTTAATATGCACATTCAGCACATCCAATGCATCAAAACATTGTTTTCTAGTTGGAGCCGCGCCTCGTTTTCAAACTGTATGGTTTGACTAAAATGAACAATGACAGCAATATAGTCCACGATGACCAGCGCTAAAATCAACCTGCGTAGTTGACCCTCCATTGTGACATTAGAAAGTGTCACATTTATCTTGGAATTATGCAACTTTGTTACAAAATAAGTCCCTGTTTCAGACCAAAGCAAGCAAACTCAAGGTCTGAAAGCACCCTGAAATACTTACAGAACCTTCGGTCAAAGTTATTTTCTCACTCTTGTTTCATCTTTCTCTGAATCTGTGTCATTCATACAATCTGTATAAGCTTATCAATTTCTAAACCCCTCTTCTCTTATTAATATATTTTACTTATTTTCCCTTTTTCTTTTCTAAATATAAACCCAGACCTCAAGCAACTTCCTGTGTTATTCCAGGGACAAAGCACCCTTATGGAATTCCAGCTTATTGATGGGGCTAACTGGGGCGAGGGATGATTGAGACAAGATTGAATGTTAGATTGAAGATTGAAGACTGAATGCGCTTTACAATTGTCTGTGTTTATCTTGTAAAATCTTCAGAATTCATTAAAAATATTCTTGAGAAAGAAATGCAAAAGCTGCACTGATTTCTAGTTACTCTAACTTAAAGGTCCAGTGTGGAGGATTTAGGGGGATATATTGGTAGAAATCAAATATATTTTGATGAGTACGTTTGAGCCTTTTGTATCTACACAGGGAGCAGGTCCTCGTCTGTGGAGATTGCCATGTTGCCTGCCAAACACTGGCTCTATTTAGAGCCATTTATAACTTTCGCATTGGCCTGCATAGTTCACAGAGAGGGTCGAAAAAACATTGATTTTTTTTAAACATTAAACTGCTTTATTCTGTTTTTTTTGCCGGGTTAAATCAAATGGTCCATTTGTTCTGGAGAGGAAGAGACACCAAAGGAATTCAAACTTAGAGAAATTCCAGCTGGTTGCAAACTGCAGTTGTCACTGCTTGATGCCATTGAATGCCCCTTCATCTTTAACACTGCTCCTCTTAGAAAAAAAAGTATTTTGTAGCTGTAAACTGAAATACAAACTGCTGGAAAAAATCTTTCTCTATAAAAATCAATCAAATCTTCTGTACAGATATAGTAATATGTCACAGATGTAGTTTTTAAAATGTATTTTTATAAAGAGAAAGATTTTAATTGAGCATAATGCATCCATATTTGCTTACATGACAGTAATATTTGGCTGCTATTTAATGCAAATGTAAACATTTATGCAGCTGTACAGTTCAGACTCACTCTACATAAAGACATCCACTGCCTGCTTGTGAATAGAGCAATATACAGCTAAACTGTAAATGGAAGTCAGATTTATTTCCCTTGTTTGGGGGGAAATGATAAGGTTATTATTCCCCTGCTTTCGATCAGTATATCAGCATAGTGCAGAGTAACATTTTCTCCTCTCTCAGCAGGGAAAGTGACAGTTCGAGGCCTTGAGCCCAGAAACTGGCCCTCAGAACTGGGGATTAGATGGCTGCTCTGGTCTCTGTGTGTAGATAAGAGGACTCATCAATCCCAGTCTTAACACCATCTCTGCTCTCGAGTGGAGAGATTTGCAGCACAGTGAGCGCCTGCAACTGATGGTACAGAATACTGCATCGTTTCTACACAGGCGCTAAGTTAAAATAGTAATATCAAAAAAATATATATATTATTCACTTATTTTTATAGTTATATGTTTGGCAGATATGCTACTTGTAGTTTACAGTTCTAATTGGGAAAGACATAAAAACATAAAGAAAATCTGCATAAAAAGAAAATCTGTTTCAGCCCAAGAATAAATACTTCCTGCAAATACTACAGATTGATCAAACAAGCAGTCTAGGATCTCTATTTGCTCAATCCATAGTGTTTCATAAACCATCTGTTTGAGCTTCCTGAATCTACAGAGTCCCAGAAGAGTGCCAGTCTGTACTCACCATGGTAGATGGTGCTGCTGTTGCTGCTGAGGTAGGATTCCACCAGCGGAGCCTGTTCCTCACTCTGTTTGGTCCGACGAGTGCGAGATCTCCCGTCCACGTTAGACTGGACCATCAGAGGCTCCTGCCTCTTCTTCTTCTGCTTCTGTTCAATGAGCACCCGCTGTTGTGAAGGTTTCACGTACGTGCGCACATGCACACAAACATGCCCAAATAAAAAGAAAAATAATGAGGGCACAGTTTCAGGAAATTAAAGGAAAGTAATTATACGCACATCACACAGGTGCAAGGCTATTAGAAAACAGCGTAAATGAAGAAAAAGTAACGCCTGCACACTTGCTTGCTTTAGATCAGTGGGTTTTTTTTTAACTTTTTGGGCCCAAGGCACACCAAAGTGCAAGCCAAAATCTCAAGGCACACCTGTATTTATATCTGTGCACAATAGCTTCTATATTGTGTGGTGTCACTCTTATCTCAACACAGACAATAAAAACAAGAAAAAAGAAGACAGGTAGCTTTCATGATACCGTCTACTGACAGTTTTTGTTCTCTTTTCTTTCAGTGGCAGGTCGTCGTCGCTGGTGCTTTGTTGTAATTTGCTCCATACAATAAAGTAATCCATTGTCCCACTCACGGCGTTCTCCTTTTAATTATTATCATCCTTCACGCTGGCTGCCAATCAGGGCCTTTGATGTGTCACACACTTATAATTCCCATGCACGAACGGTGACAACTGGGTTCCCCATGAAGGTTTTTCTAAATTGAATTTAATTAAATTACATTTTTTAGCTAGAGTTTGCCTCTTTGGGAGTGCACAAAATACTGAAACATTCATAACTTTATGTAAAGGCCCAGTTGAATATTGCAATAATAAGGTATTGTTATCACAAAATCCCACGACACACCTGGATTGGCATCACGGCACACCATGTGAGAACCACTGCTTTAGATGGATAACCACATCTACCATCATAGAAATTGTCAGTCTATTGGTGTGCATTATATATACAGCTTAAGCAAATGAAAGAAGTTACACCCCTCCTATAATATATGATTATAGGAATAATTTAAGTGAAAATGAAAATACATTAGCACAGAGGTCACTGAAGTAAGCACCAATGACTGCAAAAAGCCATGATATAATATAACCTCTGTACTCTTGCAGTAAAAACAGTCCTGAAACGTAACACAATACTGTTTTAAACCAAATTTGTTTATGATAATAACTTATGAGGCATCATATTCCTTGTGAGCTACCCTCATACAGACTTTTGGTAATAACACAGTCTTGGACAAATCTTTTGAGCCAGCACAAGCAACTGAAGATGTTTAAGGATGAGCTGTCCAAACCACTTTGACCGGGGGCTGGATATAGCTATTCATCTGGACCGACTGTCAGCTATATGCACGTCCTCAAACCAGAGCTCATCAAATATTGAAGGTTTCTATTAGTGGAGATTTCAGGAAGCAGAGCTTTGGAGCCACAGTATCCCCCGCAAAGCTCAGTTTTATGCCAAGACAGTGATAACAATAGGTACATTTACACAAGGCATGGGTTTGATGGTTAAAGAAGTATTGTGCAACTGGAGAGATGCTTGTCTTGTCATAAAACTGGGCTGTCTATGCAGTAGAAGAAACTACCAAAATGCACTGTGCACTAGTGAGCGACATTGTTCAATACGGCCGCCGGCTGGTAAAAAACAATACGGCCAAACAGTGAACTGAAATATGCTTCTAAAGACATTTTAGGCGAGAAATAGGCAATACAGTAACAGAGTCTTGGTGGTTGTTTGATCAGCACTGCCTAGTTTTACCGTTTGATCTACATTTGAGAGACAGAGAGAAAGGGGTGGGGTTTTTTCTCCATCCACTTCTATAATCTTTGTATCCATGGTTACAGATATATGAAAATGCAGAAGTACAATCTGTAGTTCGAGCACCCGCAGATTGACATGTTTAAGCAGAGAGATAAGCAGGGAGATCTGGACACTGAACAAAATGGAGGGAAGTTCACCATAGTTGATTTACACATACTACCCAGTAAGGTTGTCCCCAACTACGAAATGTCCTAGTCAACCAATAGTTGTCATTTAGGGCCATTAGTCAACTAGTCACCCGCATGTTTACAATATGAATTCAATCATTAAATGATACATTTTGGGTGGGGCAACACAATGGTTTGAGTTGAAGGTGTGAGAAAGAATAGTATCAGTACCATTGTTAACACTGTGCTACATTACAGAGAAATACAAAACCGTACAAATGAACCTTCATTAATATAGGCCTATATTTCATCTACAAGTGCACGTCACACACTGAGCGAGCCGCCTGTTAATGACGCTGTCGGCAAAGCAGTAATGATTGTGCTAAGTGGCTAATGGGCACGTAGCTACTTCCATGTTTCAGATGATACGTCATGTTTGTAGTCGACCAATGAAGATGAGTTTACATATCACCTTGGGTTCATCCTTCACCTTCTCAAAATGATCCCACACTTTGGATTTCCTGCCCGACATGTTATTAACTAGCCTGTGGAATAACCGCAGGTATCAGTCCTGTCTGACTGCTGAGTGTGGCCACTTCCTGTGTCAGTCCTCCTAATAAGAGTTTCACGTTTTGTTTTTTTTTTCCTGTGACTAAGCAACTAATGAAATCTTGTCGACTAATGACGTTTCTGGTCGACTAAAATTTGGTCGATGATTAGGGGGCAGCCCTAAAATCTGCAAAGTATCCCTTTAAAGCTTTGACTTGTGGGTAAGACACAGGTTTAAAATGCAGCTACAAGCAAGCTTCTCTCCCTTTGACTAATTGGTTACTTACAAACAATGACAATGATATTTTGTCACTTTAAACCTTGTCTGAATCTCAAAAAACTGCAGAAACCAGCTGAATGAAGAGTAAAATCATGAACTAATATATTTCCCTGCCTCAATAAATCGTTAATCCAAACATTAATTGGCTCTTGACACACTCGCTCATTAAAACTCCGCTCAGAGAGATAACAAGTCCTGGCTGGCCATTTGTGGCCTCATGATGGAGCAGCGGAAGTTTGTGTCATGATAAAACTGCCCTGTTATAATTGATTTTGCCGCTGTGTTACTCTATTATCAGAACTGCAGGAGGAGCAGTAAAGACTTACCTGTCTGTCCAGTTTCTGCTGTCGGAGGTTGGTGCCCTCATCATCTAAAGTGCTGCAAAGAAAAGAGCAGAGAGAGGAGGGAGGGGAGGGAGGGGGGGGGCGACGACAGTGTTAAAATGATGCAAAGTGCTCTTCGGCTGTTTATGATGTTTATAATGTAATAAAGACATTTTCCAAAATGCTTCAGTTAATTGACTCTCTACTCTGAAACTGCAGCAGAAGGTTGAACACTTGCAGTATCTGACTGTGTTTTAGCTTCACTGCCTTTAATAAACAATACGTGGTAATGAAGCAGGAAACAGTGTGTTTGTTTCTGCTGCGAGACATTTTGTTCTCACATTGAGACCTAAATTAACCTCATGGCTGTTATTATCTCCGCACACCCCAAATGCATTGGCTTATTATTCCCTGAAAAACAAAAGGAGTATTTGTGAGTATATAATAATTATATAAAAGGTGTTATGATAGCTTTGTGCATTCTTATCTTTAAGACTGCAACAATGTGGGACTATAAAAGGATTAAAAGTATTAGAGAAGATTTGCTGGTCTTATTTTTTGGGGTGTTTAACTGAAAAGCCTTATCTTACTGCATGTGCTTATCTGGTGTATATTTTTCTGACACAAACAGTTGCTTATGGACTTATTTAATTTAAAAGCCAGTCCCTGTTGTACCCTTCATTTCACTGACATACTTTTGCCCACATGCTTAAGTTCTGATCAAAGCACTTTTCTATGAATAAATTAAGCCTATCCCAGCTGACTGGGAGAGAGGCAGGGTACACCCTGGACACATAGAGACAGACAACCACTCACACTCACATTCACACTTACAGGCAATTTAGAGTCACCAATTAACCTGCATGTCTTTGGACTGTGGGAGGAAGCTGGAGTACCCTGAGAAAACCCACAATGACAAGGGAAGAACACGCAAACTCCGCACAGAAGGGCTCCCCCACCCTGGGTTCAGCGTCATCAACAGCTCCTCCCACAAGTCATCAACAGCCCCTCCCGTTGTGCAAGGCTGCCTCGGTCTGTTTAAAGGGTTCCACCAATATGACTACCCTACAAGGCGGAAAATTGGGCACCTCGGATTAACTCGCCAATCCGGCTCTGTGTGTCTAAACGCTCGCAGCTTGCCGGCAAAACGGCCCAACATTCACGGAAAATCTGACAGTGAAAAAGGGGCCTAAGATACAAAGTCCAATACACAAAACGTACCAGTCAGTTGTACAATAAGTGCAAATGAGGACACGGCAGCTAACAGTGTTGTGGCGTCTTGGATAAAGGTGTTTATATCTTCTGGGTGGCTCATAAAATTGCCACTGAAGCAGTTTAATAAGAGTATGTGTACTTTGATAACTACAGCCCTTTAAAAAGAACTCCCCCTCAAAATCAAGTGGCAGGGCTCTTATAAAGCTGTCACTTTTTCTCTTCGAGTACAACAGCAACATAATCAGAGGCATCACTTGAGCATGATGCTGTAAGCGATGTCATGGAGTCCAGAGGAAAAAACATATTATGAAGCTGTCCCGGATCATTAGAGAGAGAAGAGGAACAGTTTGAGATGTCCTTGGTTTCCGTCGCTGACTTGATAAGACATCCTGAGTTTTACCAGAGAAGAGCCACAGAGCTCCTTCCTCAAACATGTCCGATTTACTAAAAAGCTCCTCCTTTCACTGAGACACTGCTTTATTTCCTTGAGACCCGTAATTTGATTTCAGGATGGTTTTCCTCGCAGCAGACGGATTATGAAATGTTAAATAGGCCATTACATGCCTTATAAGTTCATTTGCATTTGCACAGCTTTAAAAAACTGTTGCAGCTGAGATTTTGCAAAAGTGACAAGAAGGCGTAAAAAGAAGTAAGTGTGAGTGGAGGTGCGTGTGCAGATCTGCTCAGCTACGTCAACAGAGATTAAATTTTAACTGCAGCAAACAACATTTTTCACTGTTTTTCTTTTGATGCATAGCTCACATGGAGGAGTCTGCACCAGAGAACATACAGACAGAAGCGTCTGCCACGATAAAGGCGAGACAGAGGGTGTAATGATGGCAGGTGTCGTATGCTGTACACACTGTAAAAGCCCTTTGAGGCACATTTATGATTTTGGGCTAGCTGAACAGCAGATATTCTCCACCTACACACTTTACCTTTCAAGACAAAGGATTTGATAGATGAAAGAGATTTTGCCTGTGCAGTATCACCACAAACTGCTTAAACGGACATTGTTAGCTACAGTAATCACCCCCTCAGTCCTACTAGTGTGAGTGTCTTTCAGCAGGTTATCCTGTTGGTGTTGCAGGGGAATGTGACAAATGTGACAGATGCTACTATCCGTGTGTACGTCTGCATCTTTGATATCTCTCAAAAGCATTCTTGTGTCCTCTGCAGCACATTTAATGTCTGATGCAATGCACAGAGAAAGCAAGGACAAAAGGAAATCACGGCGGATTCATCGCAAGAGCATCATCACATCCCAATGGCACAGACGGCACAATACCAAGCACACACCTGATCTCAGCCTCTGGAAATGATTCTCTGCCTTCCTGAGCAGATTGTTCGAAAACAGCTGGGAAATATCTTCCTCTACAAGAATACCAGTATTGACTTGAGCATAATTTGATTTGGTGGTGCACTGCGCCCTGACATAATGCCACCGGCCTAAGCAAATGCCTTAAAGGTCAGTGTTGGTAAAATGAATGTCTAAATGATTTCAGCAAGTTGGCCACTGTTTCTCTCTCCACCGCAGAATGCTTTAAGTGAAGAACATATGGATAAATGCACAGGTGTTTTCAGAGCTGCCTTCTTCGTATGATAATCTGTGAACGAGCAAGCATTAACATAGCGGGACAAACATTATAGTCACTACTTGCACAGAGGTAGAATAAAAACCCAAGTTACAGTTTAATAACTACCTAGAGAAAATGTGATCACAATACATTGTGCACAATGTAAGGATGATGATGATGATGATGATGATGATGGAACAGGTGAGAGCAATATCTTTTAAAATTTTGCATATTTAAAGCAAGGTTAGAATGTGAGTGTGAATGGTTGTCTGTCTATATGTGTCAGCCCTGCTATAGTCTGGCGAGTGGCGACCTGCCCAGGGTGTACCCCACCTCTAGCCCATTGTCAGCTGGGATAGGCTCCAGCCCCCTATGACACCTAACAGGATAAGCGGTTACAAAAAATGAATGAATGAATGAATGAATGAATATTTAAAGCTATAGTAGGTTACTTTTTGTTATATTTGCTGAAACTGTAACTACATCCACACAGTATAATCTGTCATAATAAATTGTGTTCCTCTGCCTCCTCAAAGTGCTTCTGAAGGCCTTTGCAAGAAATCACCACACATGAAAGAAAACAACCAATCAGAGCACAAGAGTCTCAAATGCTGTTGTCAATCATGTCAGTCACAGCTCCTGACTTGTGGTCAAATTGTGAAACTAGGCAGCACTGCTCAAATACAAATCAAGATTCTGTCACTCCATTGCCGATTTTTCACCTCTAATGTTTTCAGAAACATATTTTAGTGTACTGTTTAGCTGTAAAACGAATGGTGCAAATGGTGCTTTGTTGTGGCCAGACTGTTTTCAACATGGCAGCTGGGTCACAAACTTTCTCATATCACAGCTAAGCAGTGCACTAAAATTTGTTTCTGGAAACATCAGAGGTGAGAAATAGGCAATGCAGTTACAGAGTCTTGATTTGTATTTGATCAGCGCTGCCTAGTTTGACAGTTTGACCACGGTTCAGGAGCAGTGACTGACAGCAATAACGAGATCATGATTGACAACAGCGTTAGAGAAAGATATTGACCACCTGCCATGTTAAAAATAGTCAGGAAAAAACGAAGCACCACCCGCCAGCCGAACCAACTTTCTCGGTTTACAGCTAAACAGTACACTAAAATATGTTTCTGAAAACATATGAGGTGAGAAATAGGCAATGCAGTAACAGAATCTTGATTTATATTTGATCAGCTCTGCCTAGTTTGACAGTTTGACTGCAGTTCATGAGCTGTGACTGACATGACTGACGGCTGTGTTACAGACTGCTCGGCTCTGATTGGTTGTTTTCATTCAGCAGTGATAGATTTTGACAAACGTCATTAGAAGCACTTTGAGGAGGCAGAGGCTTTTCTTTCTCCGCAGATTATCTGTCTCACGTACTGCTGTGTGGATATAGTGACAGAACTGTGGCTTTAAAGGATTAATCAAATATCAGAATCAACACTGATTGATTTTCTTTCAATGTACTAATCGATTACAAGACCAGTTGTTTTCAGAGCATGTGAAATGCCTGCCATCTTGCTAAAAAGCATCACTTGATATTTAGGGAGAGGAAATTTTAGTTCTATGCTTGAGACAAAATGAAGGAAAACAGAACCGACAACAGAATAATGAGGTTATTTCCTACTAACTTACTTTATTGAGCAGCTATATTATTTTTCATCAAACTGTTAATTTAAAAAAAACAATGTATTTTCTTCTGGGGTTTTTCAGGACTTTAAAATATAATGTATAATGTTGAGTCAGTGCCAGACCTCGCACACTCAGCACCCTAGGCAAGATTCCCCTAGCGCCCCCCCTCTGGCTGGCGCCCTAGGCAGCTGCCTATGTTGCCTTTAAGACGACCCGCCAGTCTGATGATGTAATTAAAAAATTAGCATTGCTCTTAACTTTAAACCTTCCTCTTCCAGTGCCCCCTGATTAAACAGCTTTTAATTCAGAGTGACCCTGAGTATACCTGCTGTGTGTGTGTGCGTGTGGGAGTTTGTTCACCCGTCTGTCTCTGCTTGGAAGAATAAGTGAAACTCATCTCGTGTAAACAACTACAGCTTGGGCTAAGCAAAACAACAACAAATCCAATTATGAATGAATTCGTGACAACATGTCTTCCACAAACAAAGTTATAATATGACAGATGCCAGTCTTTCTCTGTAATATTGTTAAACATCATCTCCATGCCGACAACAGCGCTCGGTTTCCACATTAGAGCTTTTCTTGCATTTGTGCTGTTGTGCTAAGTTTTTAGTAAATTTGA